CAAGTGATATCTCATACAGTAGAAATACTAGGACAAATGAGAGTATGCACCTTTTCATTTCAGGGATCACATAGTTTCCCTCCATATATCTTCCAATGCTAAAGATCTCTTCCCTCCCAAAGAATATTATCTGCAGATAGATTTATCTTGAGCTAACACATGTTCAGCTAAATTCATGTCTCTGTCAGGCTCTAGGGCAGCAGGATTGCAGTGAGATGCAAAGGTAGAGCAGAGCAGAGCTCTATCAGCTTTACTTCCAATGCTGCAACCCACAACATCCTCATTGAAATGCTGGACAAGAGTGATGCCTGAGGGAACGATTCTGGAGGTCTCCAGTAAGAATACCTGAGGAAGATGGCAAACTACTTGTGACAATTATGAGATGACTCAAGAAGGAATGACAAATTCATCCATGCTAGCTAAGACAGGCAATAAGACAGTAGTTTATAATCTGGCTTCTGCCCCCTTAGTATATCAGCCTGAAAATATTACCTCTGCTTTCCACAGAAGGACATACACTGAAGGAACAAGATCAAATGTCGTACTCAACCCTTAAGGTGGAGAAAGAGGGCTCTAGATGCCTGGTGTTTATCTCTCTGTAGTCTTTAATAAATGCTTTCCAAGTGGCAGAGAATTCAAAGATGAATGACAGTTATTAAGTATTTTTTTTCTTAAACAAACACATACAACTAAACTGCTACTGCAGTGTATGCAGACTGATTTCCCAAGCGGAAGCAATTGCAGTTTCATGCATGCTGAAATGAGATCAGTCTCTCCATCTGTGATTCAGCCATGGAATTGTCCTTGTTTTCCAAATGGCTGGCTGCTCACTGAGTGGCCAAGGGTGATTCAGCATGGCTTCACACTGCTAGGAACAGACTTCTGTAAGACCAATAGTTCAGGCAACTAATTTTAATCTCCTGATATAAGCAGATTGCTTTTCTACTTTACTTTAAGGCATGTAGGATGCAGTAGTAGTAGGCTATTATCCTAAACCCATTGATCTCCTAGACTGCAGTGAATGATAAAACCAGTTAGTCTAACAGTCACATGACTGCAGTCATTAGAGTTACAACTGTCAAAGCTGAAAGCCAAATAGAAAATGTGGTGCAATAACTTCAAACTGCCATTCAGATACTTCACCTTGTTCTGTACCAGTTGTAATGGGCTGAGAGCTGGCTTGCTGCACTCGCCCCCTCTGCAGAGAAATGTGGCTGCAGTCACTCTTAGAAGAAGTAATCTCTATGACCTGCTGATGAATAGGCCACTTATTTATAAGCATCCTATCTTTCCAAGTGATGCTGCTGTACATCCGCTTTAAACAAGAAGGATTTCCTTTTCTGATATGGAATGTAGTAACTTTGATGACTCTGCACAGGCAGCCAGGCCCATATAAAGCAGAGGAGGAAATTTCCCCACCCAGTTTTCCCTCCCTTCCTCTACCATACATGGAGAGGCTCTTGAATCCTAGGAACTAAAAATAGTTTAGCAGATAAGTTTAAATTAAGATATTTTGAAGCACTTCTTTCACTGACACTGTGTGATAGCAAGTTAGGAATAGACTGCTGTCCTGGTATGTCTATCCTATTTCCAGTTGTGAGAAAGGCTGAGCCTTTTGTCCTGTGAGATGATTTAGGATGGGGTGAAAATACAGTGCACCTCAGAGAGCACAAGTGGCTGAGAAGAAGCAACCCTGGCTACAGATGGATCCCAAGCCTCCAAAGGTGGGGTGAGAAGGACACTGCAGAACCTACAGGAAACCCAAAAACCTCACTTGCAATTACTTATGACAACAACAGTCTAATTCTCCCTGCCACAAGCTCCCACTTTCTGCTAACCTTCTGAAACTGATGTAGATTTTTTAATTTGTATTGTCTGTCTAGAGACAGGAAGTAAAGAACAAAGCTACAGAAAACCCAAGAGCTGACAGCAGTAGCAGTGTTACTGAGATCCTTGCAGGGCAGCAGAGCAGTGAAGAATGTCAGTTGCTGCTCTTGGTGATGTGCAAAAGAAGGATTATGTATCTCTGTTCTTTTTCTGGGATTTCAGTTACTCATATAGAGGTTTGATGTTTCTAAATACTCATCTAGAAATAATGTACCTTCAGTTCTGTTTGCTTGAGGTGCAGGGAGAAGCGGGAAAGGGAGACAGTCTCTGGAGCTTAAAAATGACAGTGAAAAGTTAGAAAGAATTAAAACAAAGGACAAGAGAAACACCCCCAAAATTGAAGTAAATATCAGAGCAGACATGAGAAAGTAGTACATTCTAGGAAGAAAGGATAAGGAACCATACAGGGAACAGTCCCAACAAAACAAAAAGCAGTTTTTCACATTCTTATGGTGCAGTGGTGGGAGTTGAAGAAGGCTGTGGCAAGGCAAGGAGGGTGTATTAGCAGATGCACTGGGAATATATTTAAATAGTGTTTCAAAAGGCAGCCAACTGCATAGGTATTCACAATGGCTCTTAAATGTCTCCTGCCTATATATTGATACTTAGGCTCTCACAACTGATAGTCCAAGTCACTTCCTGAAGCTAACACAGGTTTTAAAACCCTGCCTGACTTCTAAACCATTATTTCACATTCCTGTTTACCAAAACCCAGGAGTGTCTGTGTCCCAGAGTAGGCTACTGTGCTGTGGATATTGCTAAGGAATAGCAGAGCTTTAAATGCTGCTGTCTCCATGGGAGCCTAGAGCAGCTGTAGGAGCAGGAGCAATGCTAGCCCAGACATCCTGACCAAGGCTACACCCTTCTGGCAAGAGATGCTCTACTAATGTCCTCCCATGCCAGTCCAAGCAGCCTCCCATGGAGCCAGTGCAGCTCAGCAGTCCCCCATCCTCCAGCTGTGTCTATACCTGTGTTTACTCTAGGTATAGGTGTTCTTTAGCTCTGTTCACCACGTAATGAACACCTTCCATCCCTCTTCTTTACTTGCTTGCTTCCCACAGTCACTGGCTGCTGAACTGGACTTCTGGTTTAAGGGCTGATTTGCTCCAGCAGGATCAGGATGTACAATTTTGCCTTCTCATTTACTGGTAAGATCCCTAATGCAAGAAAAGACCCTGTGAGTTACCATCCCTGGCAGACTAACTCCTACAGAAGGACACCCCTGGCCAAGCATAAACCAAAAAGAGGGTGAGCAGTGAAGGACTGATAGGAGAATAAAATATTACCTCAGTCTGCAGTGCTTCTGGGAACCCTAACTCCAGCTGGCAATATTGTTGCATCATCTCCTGCCATGGGATATTATCTTGCCATCAGAAATGCTCTGAATTAAATACATAGTTTTTCTGGGATCCCTCTGTACTGATGCCGTCCATGGAAATAAGTCTTGATGTAAAGCAATTGCTCTTCTACTGCTAGGACTATCGGGTGGCAGGGAGCAGCTGAACATGCCTTTCTCAACATTCATCTCATGCTTGTACATTATTCAAAGGGGGGAAAATAGCTTCATCTTTAGGGAGGCTGAAATTGTTGATTTCTTTCCTATCCTAAGGAAAATGAAATCTAAAGACTAGAAGAAGTAGAACAAGGCATCGGGTCAGATGCACTGCCCAGCAGAGCAAGACATAAGGGACCCAACTGAGCCTCCCCTTGTAACAGTGGAAAGAGCAGGAGGACAGTGCCCTGTCTGAAGGAAGCACCTAGGTTTGAAAGTTACCTCTACAGGACTCCTTAGGCAGAACAGATAAAAGAATATTTAGCCCAAGGATAAAATAGAAGTTTAATAATTGCCTTGCAGTATTATCTGTCCTGGGTAAAATGTTCTGTCCTGGTTCAAATTCCATTTGAAGCAGAGGATCAGAAGTTAGAATCCACATGTTTTCTTTCTGATTCAGTCTAGTAATGTTTCCGTGTCTCTGTTTTCCATTCTGTCATTTTTTTAAAGTCACTTTTTAAAAACCTGCTTTATTTTCAGGCTCAGAGAAATGTAGTGAGTTATGGTACACTGAGGTACATATATGAAAATAAGTTTATTATTACCTTGTTTTTACTATTATTAGATAGATCACAACTGTGAAATCAGATAACACTTTGTTCTGCCCTCATGTTTGTGCTTTAAATACTCCATGTGTAGCAGAAATCAGGAAAGATATTCACAATCAAGGTCACTTCAGGTCCATCACCCATATACTACTCTACATTTTTCAGTACTTTATTACACATGGAAAGGTCTTGACTATCAGGGATGGAACTACAAGGAACTGTTTCAAGAGCTAATTTACTGTCTCCTGCCTGTCCTTGCTGGCAGCCCTCCACTGCCGACACCTAAAAATTTATAAATTCTACCTGAACTCACCAGCTGCTGCCAGCCAGACATGGGCATTCTTGCTGGAGTGAGTGCCTGCAGGGAAAGTTGATGTAGAAGAGTCCCTCCCTGAGCTGGACAAGGTGAGAGAAATAAATCAGTTTCTGAGAAGACTCTTTTGCAGCTATGCTGTCTACAAATTATCTCTCATCATCCTTAATTGTGTAATACTGCATGCCTCTGTGTCCATGGAGAGCTGAAGTGAACGGAGGGCTCCTTGGGAGGCTCTTGAAATGAGTGTTCTGTGCTTAACACACAGGTAGCTAAGGAGGAAACTGAGCTGCCATAAGATCTCTGGAAGGCCAGGGAAATTTAACCTCCAAGTTATTTCCTGACATCATCATGTCAGCTGAGTCTTCTTAGCCCAAAGTGTTGAAGAAACCAATGACATCCATCCTTCTTCCAGCACAGAGGTATTAGAGCACATCTGGTTGAATGGCTGCTGCCTCTGTGACTGACTCCCAGACCCCTGGCCCTAGACCCTTTATCTTACCTATTTCTTAGGATGCCTTGGGTGAGGTATACCCCAGGGCCAAAGCTGCAGCAGGAAGCCCTGGTCTCTGCAGGTCTGATTTGACTCCTTTGTAAGCTAGAGGAGCTAACCCACCTGGCATTTGCAGGAATCAGACTTTTGGAAGGAGAATCCAGCACAAGGAAAAGGCATGGGTGAATGGCAGTTTAGAGGACTTACTGGCCTGCTTGGCTTTCTCTGTATAAGTGGTGGTTAGGTCTTCATCAATGGGATGTTCCACTGGCCCCACCATGGGGATGAGATGGCGTTCCGCTCGGATAGCCTTGGTGGCATGGGGCAGGAGCATTGCCTCTGGAGAAGGCTCCCGTCCCTCTGCTGACGGTGGCCGCAGCTGTCCCTCGCTGTCTGAGAACGGAGTGTCTGTGCGACTGCCCGGCAGGCAGACAATCTCCCTCTTGGCCACCCCGCTGGAGCCGGCCAGCTCTGCCCCTCCCTGCGCAGCAGCCTCCGGCATGCTCTCGTAGCCACTCTGTTCAGACAGGGACACCTCGTCCTGAGGTGCGTCCGCCCTGCCGGTGGTGCTGTCAGGTGGGGAGCGTGGGCTCTTCTTGCGAGCGCGGCGGTGCTTCTCCTGCGCCACATTGTCAGCGTCGCTGTCTGTCTCGCCGTAGTAGGCCTCGCTGTCCGGTGGGGACGTGAGGCTCTCCAGGTGCCTCTGTGACCTCCATGGCTGCGAGGGCTGTGTAGTGGCTGGGGCTCCTGCTGGTTCAGAGCTGAGTAACTGTGCTGAGGGGGTGGGCACAGATGGTGGAGAGAGCACTCGCTGCCCTGGAGAAGGGGAACGCTGGAGCCACGGGCCAGTCTGGTCCCCACCAACTATCCTGTGAGGAGAAGGAAAAGTGGTAAGCAAGATTTGGTTTGTGCAGCTAAACTGGAAGGAAACCCTGGAGTGAGAGAGGGCTATGGACTGGGACAGTGTTACAGGTGTTTTTCAGGTGGTACAGACATTTGAAGTGTAGACACCAAGGCCAGACTTATCCCTGACATCAGCTATGTGTTCTCATTCTGATTTTCTGCTTCACAGTTCTATGGAAACCAGGTGTTAAACATTCAAAAATCAGAATGCCCTAAAACCATAAATATTTACCAAGCTTAATCAGCTCCCCAGGCATTTCTCTTGGAGAGATGAATCCTGCATAGCAAGCATTCCCCAGGACAGTGAGACCTACCCTTCAGCCTGCAGCTTGTCAGCAGAGAACGGCTGGTGCTCAGCCAGAAGATTTCCTATTATTACACTGCACTCCAGCTGCTCCTGCAGCTGAGACTGTGTCAGATCTGCAGATCCTGGCACCCCCAAACTGCTTTAGTTCAGACTCCCAAGAAGTCAGTGCTATTTGTTTGCTCTGACCTCTATGTGGGAGTAAATAGCAAATACTTAGGATATAAAGGCCCAAGTGTTTTTTGGGGATAGGACTATGGTATCCAGTGGTAGGAGACCACTCTAATATTTAGCCTGCTCACTGTGGTGGGGCTGCTTCACAAGCTATCAGTACCTGGGTTTTGACAACCATGTGCAGTCATGCTGGCCAGCCCAATCCATGGTGGCATTTGCCTTTGGTTTAGACATAGCAATTTCAAGCCTCTAAGACATCTGGAGGGATGACTGGAGTAGGTGCCAGACAGTCTGGGGCAGTTAACCCTGCTGCTGGCTTCCAGAGGGAAGGGGAGTTGGCTGTGCTGACAGAAAAAGAGCCCATTCTATCTTACCTCTCCTCAAGAGTGAGTCTGGATTTCCACAGCAGTTTGACTCCAGCCCACACAGATGGAGCTGGGAACTTGTTCCTTCTCCTGTCAGACTCACCAGGGCTTATAAGAGCTATAAAGTAGTCCTAAGTATTTGCCTTCTGAACAAGCATACCATGAAGCCAGGTAGACAGCACTGCCACTGTAAAGCTGTGCAACTGATGACTTGGATCCCAATTCTAAACTGTGAAAAACTTTTATTTATGTCAAATGCAAACTTTTGTGGAAGCTAAGGGTGGGAGAATTTCTCTGGCAGTTTATTTTTTAATGCTATTTGCCATTATTAAATCTCTCTGGGGAGCAACCTCAACATTCCACAAGCAAAACAGAACAGAACAGTCCCTCTTCTTCTTTAAACACTTGATCAGGTAACTCAGAAGCATAACTTTTTGTAAGTGAGTTTCTTTCGTTCTGTATTGTCAGGTCAATGTCTCTCCCTTCCTCTTTTTCTGAAATACATACACTCCAGAGTCATCCAGCTACCTATCCTTTTTGAACAGAAATGATTGGTGTTTTCTCTGAGAACGTAAAGATGAAGTAGGAATAGACATGTGATCAAGAAAGCAACATTTGATGATTTCTCTACTACTGCAAATGAAGCCAACTGATTTCATTATTTCCAAACCATTCAGTGTTAGCTCCATCCAGAAGGATGCAAGAAGCCTGCCTTTCTCACTTTGTTAATTCAAAGTGTGCTGATCTTGACCGACTAAAATTTGCCCAGGCACCTGTTTGCTGCAGATAGGCTCCAGTGGTGTGAGATGAGGCCTTGGCAAGGGACCAGGAGCTATTCTGGACACCTTGTGTAGAACTTACCAATCCCACTTACAGTTAGGGTATAGAGTGAGCACATCAGAAGGCACCAGCACTTTTTCTGAAACCAAGGGGAAGATCCTAGATGCTCAGGCTTTCCTTCTCTGAGCACTGCCCACCTCTGCTCCTGCTTTACAGATGACAGCAACCAGCATGGCTGTCCTTTCCCACTGCTCACAGTGCTGTCTCTGTCTTTTCAGGACTGTAGAAGATCACATATCCCAGCCCCCTTCACCAGGGCCTGATTTTCTGAGGGTGACTTCTGTTTAGGCAGTAGTGTGGACTAGCTAGAACCTCACACGGCTTTGCTGCCTTCATCTTTACAGGATTACTCATTTATTGCTTGGGCTGCATCCAGCATGCACTGACGCACTGGGTTAACTTAGCACAGGGAGGACAAGGACCATACTGGTACTATTTTTTGTCCATAAATTTGAGCCTGATCTCCAGTATTCCCCTGAACTAGAGACTGGCACAGGTATTTCTTCCCATAAAAAAGCGGCGTAGCCACACACCTCTCATCTTTGTGGGAGTCAGTATACAGACTGTTGGACTACAACAGCCCACTGTAAGACAGGGCAAAACATTGAGATGTCAACATGTTAGCCAGGTTAGGACATGGGTAAGTCCTTCTAGTACACCTTGCAGTATGGTGAAACCAAGGGCTTCCTGACTGTCTTGTTTCTGCTGGATGTGGACAGCTGCTGTACTGGACAAAAGCACCCTACTGCCTGCACTGTCACAGCACTGGCACTTGGGAGCAGGTTACCTTTTCACACGGATGTTGAGCATGCCATTGGAGGAATCGATGATCTGCATGGCATTAGCGTGGGACAGGCCAGCACATGACTTCCCATTGATAGATACTAGAACATCATTTTCCCACAGGCCTCCACGGCACGCTTTGCTTCTCTTTCGAATCTGAAAAAGCAGGAGAGAGGATAAGGATGATGGGAAGAACAGCAGCTATTTAGTTCAGTTGCTGGCCCTTCTATTGCTCCATTTCTCACAGAATAAAGTAAGGCCTAAGATTACTGTGCTGACAGAGTGGAGTTGGATGAGCCCTGGCTATGCCTTTTGGTCTCTGTATCCCTGTTAATTCCAATAATCACTCTGCTAAGCATAGGCCTGAGCTGATCACCAACCCTGTTCAAGTTCTTTAGTGCAGATGAAAGACTCAAGAATATCTACATGCTCTTCTACATGCTCTTCTCTTGTTCAGACTCAAGAATATCTACATGCTCTTCTCCTCTTGTTCCCTATCTCCTAAGTTGGTTAGGGAGTCTGTGTTTCAGAGAACAGACTATGCCTGCACATGTCCATGTGTCCTTCTGCATGCCTCTACTGTACTTCCTTGGTATGATCCCTGACTCTTGCAGAGCCTCTGCAAGTACCATCCTCAGGGAAGCTGACACTGGGGAGAGGTGGTGGTTCAGAGGCATGTTCTGCTCTTAAGCATTCCTGCTCCAATGGCTTTGGTCAGTGTATTTCTGGACATCTGCATCAGGCTATATGGTGTCCTATTACACAAGTGTAAACTTGGAATAAATCTTTAGCCTTAACAGGAGTTGTGCAAGATATGCATTGCTTTATCTGAGAAGGGAGTCAGAGTCACTGGCTCCAAGCGAGCTCCTAGATCTGTCCTCTCATGGCCATCTTGCACCAAGTGTTTACTCTCTGTTTCATTCCATCTCCATCAGTTAAACTTCTTACCAACTCAGCCTAGTCTTTCTGCTAGGGCAAGTAAGAAAGCAAACCAAATGCCCACTCAGCCAAAAACCACTGACCTCTCCCATATAGGCAAGCAATGGGGATAGTCTTGTAGGACAGCTTGGCACCCATAATGTACTCATTTTTCACATAAAAGAGTAGCCAGGTAAAATCACTGGGTCAGAGCAAGTCAGGAACAAGGTAGCATTACACTCTCTTTGTAGATTCTTCTACAATATTTCTTCAGATCTTGCAGTTAAGTGAAAAACAAATCAGTGCAGAGCTGTTTAACAAAGGGTGCAGTGAACAGACTGAGTCAGATCCCTGCAGAGAAATAATACTCAACAGGGCACCTTTGTCCATGTCTCACAGCCTTGCTGCTTGATCCACCAGACTCATCTATAACATCATAAAGCTACTTTGCCCACACTCTCATGGCAGCTTCATGAAAGACAAGTGAATGTGGGAGGTTTGCTGCCCTGTCATTGTTCTTGCAGGAGCAGCAGGGGAGCAGGAGAGGAGAGAGCTGGAGCCGTAAGGAAGTCCCATGGCCTGATGATTGCCTGGTCTCAGTGGCCCAGACCCCCTGCACCTTTGGGGTGTGTGAGCACCTTGGGCTTGGCCCCACTGGCCTGTGTTGAGCAGGCAAGAGCAACACTCCTCCCAGGTCAGCCTGTCAGCAGAACTGAGAGGTGTTGGGGAAGAAGATGGAAAGAGGAGGGCTATGCTTCAAGTTGTTTTTGTGTTCATTGGTACTTTATCACTCCGTAGCCTTTCCAACTTGACCCCAAATCCTGCCTGCATGCTTAAAATAGGGACTGGCTCATCCCAGCTGCCACATCCATCAGCCTGTGTCATTTTAGTCCTTTATCTCCCTCCTTGTTAATATAAGCCTGGAATGAGCATTTGTCGGTGTGTAATGAACTACTGCTGAAGAACCACAGTTACAGTATAAATGCTGCTTCCTGATACTTCATCCAAATGCAGCTGTTAACTGAGAAGGTAAAGAAGATACATTTTCCAGTGCTGTCTACTGACACAACAGCTAATGAAAAGAGTTAGGAAGTTGAAAAGAGGTTAAAAGGAGGGTTTCCCAGTATTCCCCAAAAGGCCAGCTGCTGCTCCATAGCCAAATACTTGATGCTTAGCACTGGATGGGAACATACTTGCTGAGTATCTCTCCCAGTTGTAAAGCGAGGGGATTGGGGGTTGAAGGCTGTCAGCAGGTGCTCAGAGCATTCCTCACATCCCATGGTATTCCTCCCTGCTCACTGGAACAAAGGATGTAGGCTGATGACCAGCCAGAACAGCAACAGTAAACTTCCTGCAATTCTCTAGTCCCTCAGAGACTTGGGGCAACTGCTTGGGGTTCCCAGGCAGGAAGGATCGGGCTGTGCCCCCAACACTGCCTGATGCTGTTTCAGGTACCTTTATTCCAGAGAAGACTGGTGGGACTCAAGCAGGCCACATGGGCTGATAATCATGAGCAGGCAAGTCTTGCCTGTGCTCAAATCTTACTGAACTGACAGAACATGCACTAAAGCAACTTTTGGTATTTCAGTGCTCTACAATCCCGGAGGGACTTTTCCATGCCTCCATTACTTTCTGGGAAAACAGGACCAGGTCTCTTCTAGTGCAAGAAGAGACCTATAGAGTCTGAAAGTAGCATGTGTCTGGCTCAATCTTCCACAGATTTATAAACCCACCTTGGAAGTTTATGAATTTGCTCCTGGGATCAGAGGGAAATGAACTATCCACAGCTTCATACCACTACCCCACTGCATTTGCCAGGGAGGAAGGCAAAGGGGTTAAACACAGAAGAGGATTCCGCAGAGAAAGAAAGACAGGACAGGACTTAATCCAAAGCCACAACAGCAAGGTGCAGTGTGCTGGAGGCTGCAACCTAAGGCTGCCAGGTTTTTTGTGACTCACAGTCTCTGCTGTGCTGTAGAGACTTTAATGACAACCCATAGCCTGCTCATCTTGAGTACAGTGAGAGCAGCACTGAGCCTTTGAGGCCCCAGGCCAGGGTGGCTGCCCAGTCCAAAAGCCAGGCTCCCTGCCCATCCTGAAGGTCAGACTGCCCTCAGGATCAGCCACTTGCTCCCCATGTCCAAAAGATGCCCTCTTCTGGGCATCCAGTGAGCCACATGAAGTGTCACTAACAGGGAGCTTCTGCTTAAGCTGCAGAAATCTTGGAAGGTGTCACCCAACAGCTGTTCTGAAAAGGTGGGAAAAGTTGGGAAAAGTGGTGTTTCAAAGAAAAAACCTCTCTGCTTGCTGTAACACATACCTGAAGAGCTTTCTTGTGCAAATGAGAAGCAGCACTGACAGACTGACAAGTGGTAAGGGTTGGCCCCAGACCTGGCCCTGGGGGATTGCATTGTCCAACCTTCTAACACATACTGGTGAGGATTGACCTCTCCTTTTGTGTGAGGAGCCCCACAAATTCTGTGAGCCTCTTGTAACTGACTGTTAGACTTTCCACTCCATGCCTCAGTAGACACACTCTCCCATGGCATATTCACGTCAAGGTATGTCCTGTTTAGATTTCAGATGGGTTTAGGAAATCCCAGTTTCAGAGTCTTATAGATTTATGTTACTGGAAATACAAATCAGTGTGAAAAACTGGAACACATTTACTCAGAAAATTGTCCATCTCCCTGCCCTCTCAGCAGGAGATCTATAGTGACAAAAGAGCTCTTGTCAGAGAGGTTTGGGTATCTGCAGTACCTATGTACATGCACATACACACGTTTTCTTTCATTACTTTGCCTGCTTCCTCCCCCTGATCATGTTCAACCAGACAGAAGGGAAAGGACAGAGGCAGCTGAAACAGAAAGAAAAAAAAAAAAAAAAAAAAAAAAGAGAGAAAAGAGTAAGGCAACAATTGAGAAGGAAAGGAATAAGAAAGGTGTTGAAAGGAAGGTCAGTGCTAGGAGAGGCCAGGAAGGTCAGGGTTGAGATCAGGCTTTAACAGTACTGTACAGGTTTCCTTGTACAGCCCTAGGCAGACAAAAGGACGTGCTGATTGTTGACATGTCTTGGGGAATTCAGCCTAGCTTTCAGGAACAGAATGCAAGAGAGGAGGGGGTCAGATGCAACTTGGCAGCATCTGTCCTTCAGTAGGGACTATATTTAGATAGTGGTATGTGGGGGCTGAACACATGCTGGGATGCTAAGAATAGAGTAATCCTGATAGTAACTCAGTGGCTTCACATCTTGCCTCAGTACAGCCCAGGGAACGTGTCTTGAAACTTTGCAACCACTCTCCCTGCTGGCCAGCACTGCTTTTTTGTAATGAAGTAGGCTGTGGGTAAATAGAAGTGGTTTGCAGTGTAGGCTCAGGTCACCTATCTCTCCCCTTGCCCTCCCAAGCCACCTCCCACTTCCTCTCACTGGGAGAGCTCAGCCTATAATGTAGGAAGATAAATTTTATTATCAGTCTTCACCAAATCTCCTACAATCTTTCCAGCAGAAACCTAACAGCCTCAGTCCAAGTCAGAGTTTAATACTGAATACAATTCACCTTCCCACCCAATGCCCTTCTACTCTCTGATTGCATCTCTCAATGAGCCATCCCCTTCCCCCAGAAGCTACAATGGCATGGGGTCCAACACTCCATACAACCTGGCAGTGTTTAAATTTTATTCCCAGCCTTCTGTGGTATGCAATCCTGTCACAGGGTTCTCATAGAGAGATAACAAATTACTTTTTGTGGTATAAAGCATTACTAAAATGGAATGACTCAAGAAAGAGCCAAGCAGCATGTGGGCCTGCTCCTCCTAGAACTTCCTGCTCAGCTGAACCACAAACAGAGCAGTTGCTAGATGCAAAAGCAGAAACAAACTCCTTCCATCTCTTATTCTTTCTGAAGATGTGTATTCATACAATTTTGCTTATTGGGCCAGTTTGGTTTTCGTCCAAGGCCAGGGTTTACTCTTTTTGTGTAAGGAAGGATACTAATGTGGCTAAAGTAAGGAGATGGCTAGAGTGGGTAGATGGCTACAGTGGGATTCAGAAGACCTGGATAATTTTTTGTGTGACCCTGGAGAAGACACTCAGACTGTGAGCCATAAAAGGCAGGAGCCTGCAAAGCAGGACATTTTCCAACAGTCTTTCTTTATCTCAGTTGCCTACCTGAACATAGAGATCCAGTGAGATACTTTCCCTTTGCCTTATCTATTAAGTAGCAAATAACATCATATCCT